TTATAATTTTAAAATATAAAATTATAATATATATATATATATATATATATATATATTATAAAGTTGAATAATTTTTTATTTAAGTGTACTAGCTCGTTTAACACGTCAATTTATGACAAATCAGATCAAAATAATTTTTTTATGCTCACAGAAGTGAATGGAATTGGGTCAACTCATTATTGCCGAATAAGATTACCTATAAAACCACGTAACCGACATATAGCAACGTCAGTTGCCGTGTAATAAAATTGTACTATGTGACCAACATACATATTGTGCATTTTGTTTTAAATAAAAAAAAAAAGTATTTTTTATCATTTGTGAATTTCATAAATGTGAAATCAAAGTTATATTAAAATTGTGTAAAAAAAATAAAACGTTTTAACGTTTTTATACCTGTAAGTCAAACTATGGTGGAGATCTGTTAAACTCTTATATTAATATTATTTGTAATTGATTATATTTATTTAATTAATGGTAATAAATGTTTATAATTAGATATATTTAATTAATTAATTTTTAAACAGTGTTCATTTGTTGTCAACATAATAATTAAAAGTCAAATAATTAACAGAAATTACATACAGTGAAAGAGAGTACTAGTCTTCAACAACATGAAGAATCAATGTTCATATCTTGTTAGAAGAAGTGTATATATTTAATATTTAATCCTATAAAGAAGATTATTTTTAGATGGAATGGGTCCAACTCCAACTAAGCAAAATAAAGGTGGTAGAAATCGAATAGATGAATAGAAGGTGTGAAATGTGAAATAGATGTGGGTCATATTATAATTACAAATACAAATACATTGGCTGTCCTTGTAAGAGAATTATTAGATGCATGGGTCTGAGGAAATTTCCATTTTTAAATATTATAGTCATTGCGTGTCTAACAATATTGAGATACTACTATTATATAACAATAAAGAAATAATGAAATATTGCTGACCATTATTAAATGCATGACTATTATTAATGATTTAATCAACATCGAATGCTTCAAAGAAATTATTATAATTTAATTAGTAGTTTAAATTTTAGGCATATACGTTAAATGTGTTTTTGTGTTCTATGATAATCTTATCTAATTTAACTACAAATGTTTATAATTTGCAGTTAATATGCTTATTATTTTCTTTAAAGAATATTCCAATAAATTGTGTTTTAAATTATATATCCCGTGCATCGAGGGATAATTATGCTAGTGATATAATAATATACACCATACGTGCACATATATATTAACTAATCAAAGAACCTGTTAACTATTTTCTTTTAAAAATTTTATTATTATTCAAACATTATATTCCTCTTCCTTCGCCTCTAAAATATTTTGAAGTTATTTATTTTAATGAAACTAAATTTATATATAATTACCTATGGAAATATTAATATTATAAATATTAAATTTGTTAAATAGAGTATATTTTTTTAAAGTATATAATACATTTATTAAATGTATTATTTTTATATTAATATATGTATATTTAAACTATGTTATTAAAGTAAAATATACAAAAAAAAACCCAAAAATAAATATTATATTTAATGTTATTAATATGATATTTTATAAATACGTGATTAAACATATTTTTTGTATAATATTATTTATTATGTATATATATAATTGTTAAAAATAAAAATAAAGTGTTTTATTTGTTATATATCATTAATTTATTTATTTAGTAGATATTATATATAATTAACTTTAGTAATATTGTAAAATATTGTATTTATTAAATATAATACATCATATATTATTAAATATAATTAATAAAATATAAATTAATTAAATTCATTAGTTTTAATATCGATCTATATATATTCAAAATATATCATTAAAGTAAAATGCACAAAAACATACAAATTAATATAATATATAATATTATTAATAAAGAATCAGAATTTTTTAACACTAAATGTAAATCTAAAAATTTACTCTAAATTTTATATCATCAATAACTTTTTATATAATGCAATTTAATTGAATCAACCGTTAAATTATGTGATATTATATTTAAGATCGTATATATTAAATATTACATATGATTTAAATTTTTCTGGTATTATCTAAAAATAAATATTCACACGTATTTTAAATATTATATTATATGTTAAAATAAAATAATATGATGAACTATTAAATAATTTTGAAATTATGAAAAATTTAATATACATTATCTTGGGTATAATATTACATAATTCAACAATTAAAATGATTAAATTTATATTATATAAAAGATTTTTGAAGGTATAAGATTCGATGTAAGTTTTCAGACATACACCTATTGATAAATTATTTTATGAATGTATGGATAAGTATATATCTATATATATATATATATATACATACATATATATACATGGACAGCTGCACGTTTGGAATAGTGAGGCACTTGCCCTCACTACTATTTGACATATACATAATTTTTTATCTAAAAAAATGATATATTTTAAAAAAAATAAAATTATATTCTAATAATAGATTCAGAAAAAATGTTTATTTATTTGATATCTGTCAAATTTTTGAAGGAAATTAATTCTCATGTGATAAAAAAAATTTCTTAATAATGAATTAATTTTTTTAAAAAATTTAATTATAATATATATAT